ATATATACCTCCTGATGAGTCGGTGAAACTCCGACGAAACAGTTTGTCACAGCCCCTCGTTTGTTGTCCTCTTCTCCCTCTCTGCCTACGGTTTACCGGGCAGTTCTATTTGACGATATATATATATATATATATATGTTTTGCATATCAATTTGTCGTGAGATTCTTGTGTCTCGGCTAAAGGTTGCAAGTGTGAATACTCATCTGGATGCTCATTGCATGTGTGTGTGACGTTGAGAGTGATTGACTGGCGAATCATTGCAGTAGCCTCTGCCTGCTTACTTACGGTTGCTTGCTAAGGACCTCCGTGAGACCTGTATACGAGGAAACCTGCACATACGGACTGTAAACTTGCAAAATGGTTTCCAACTTTCCATTTTAAACTAGTGCAAAAAATGTGAGGGAGTAATGTATGCATGCAATATGGTGAAGGGATTATGGGAGCATCTAACTGGTTCACCTATGCTTACTTCAAGAGATATTTTTAATTAGCGCATGGTTAATCGATGAAAAGCTTTATAATTAAGCAATTAAGTAGCCTTTCGCTTCGTGCCTGGTCGTTACTTTTATTTCGCTTTTTTGCAATCTTAATTATCTAGTCGAGCAAAAACTCATACAGTGATTAGGCCGTTGTAAAAGGTAACAAAGAAGCTAATCCTCCCATTTTTCGCATATCTTATTCATCAGACATTGCATGAATCACGGAACCTGCACTCAAAAAAAGTAATGCTTTAAAAAGAGCATGGTTCATCAGATGAAATACACTCACAGAATAATTGGAGATACCACAAGCGATGGGCAGGTGAACTTGTAGTTTTGGGAGCATCTAACTGGTTCACCTATGCTATCTGATTCATATTTGGTACAGCTCTTTCAGACTTACGGACTTCGTCTAACCTTTTCAGAGCAAATTGTTCAGGGCTTCCCACCCAGCCATAATTGGGGAAAGCGTTCCATGCGTTGAGACGAGTTGGACTGCCCCTCTCCAGAATGGAGAGTAGGCATAGTCGTCAGACTCACTGAAATAGAAGGGAAGGAAAGAGCCAATAAGCAACTATTGTTACGGACTTCGCCAGGGCTCGATCCCTGTTCTATCTTTTGCTGTTTCGGCTGCATCCCGTTTTCGGCCTGGCACCCTTTTTCCAAACCCCTCCTTTGGT